GCAGGCATGTGTTGTAAGTAAACACTTTACTTACCTGATGTCATGCTATTCATTAGTTCTAAATTCTTATAACTCGCCTTCTGTCTTGTTGTTATCACAAAATTACTTAAAGAAAGTTAATTATAAATATTTGTATTAAGTTCAGTTGTAGCATTCGTCAAATTTATCGGAAAATTTATTATATTAAATTAAAAATCTTCTGCTATAAGCCTAGTAATTTTGAGAGAAGTTACAATATATATATATATATATATATATATATATATATATATCTTCTAACACATTATTTTAATTGGGTGGGTCTATTATCACCGCTCTTGCTCTCCCCATTCGTTTCCTAATAAATTTTGTTATTACTTAATTGCCTATAAATAAAATTACATTTAAGAACAAAATTGTTTTGAAGAATACTATTCGCATACATCATCGTCAAAATTAAAGGAAAAAAGAATACTCCCTTCTAAATACAATACTTATGATTAAAAAAAATTATAAAATAACAAGATTTCACAAATATATATATATATAATCTGCAATATACAGGAGAAAACAAAGTTATATAAAACACATATGAAGAAACATGGGAGAAAACAAACATCATAAGAAGATATATTTTTTTTTTTTAGAAAAAAAATATATATCTTCTTATGATGTTTGTTTTCTGTTTAGTTAGTGGGTGCAAAAAAAAAAAAAGATAAAAATTATAATTTATTGTAGAGATTTTTTTTTTTGAAATAATAAGAGGCCTATGACAAGTAATAATTAAACTCCAAATTTTAATTGGGGTGGTTTAAGAATCTATATTTAGAAGATAGAATTGGGGTAATTTAGTCATAAGGACTTTTTTAAAATTTTAAAAAGGGTGTAACAAGTAAAATTAGAGTGATATAAAAATGTGTGTAGAAAGTAAATAGAGAGTTGACAATTGACGCGCCCAGTTTAATTTCGTTCATAACGTACTATGGCAAAAAAAAAAAAAAGATAAATATAGCCTAGTAGTTTCTGAAAATTACTTTAAATATTTAAAAATCAGAAGAAAAAAAAACAAAACGTTTAAATTTAAACATATATCTATCATATATATGTTTTTTCAATTTATATATTTATTAAAAAAGGAAAAAAAATATAAAAGTATCTTTTTCATTATTTTCATTTACCGGTAAAGATAGGTAGTTGCAAAAGCACGTGTCTTTGTTCTTTAATTATAGGCCATAGATAGGTGGCGGTGTTGTACTATATATGCCGTTTTTACATACAATAGTACAATTAAAAAAATTAAATAGGAAGTTCAAAAAAAGAAAACAAAATAGGCATCAAGCGAACATAGAAACAGTTGATACATATTATGGTCTCATTTATTTTACCGATTTAAGTTTTTAATTTTAGATTTTTACAGTAAAAAGCTCTCAAAAATATCACATTTAACTTTTTTTATTACAGTGAAAAGCTCTCAAAAAATATCACATCTTAACTCGAATTAAAAACTCAAATCCGTGAAGTGAACTAGGCCTATAATAGTTGATTGATAGTTGATTGTCCTTCTGTGCTTTATTCATATTCTTTCTTTTTTGCCTTAACATTTTTTAGGTTTTTTTTTCCGTTTATATCCAAATAAAATTTAAGCTTCTGATTATTAGAAAAAATACATATACAATATATATGAGCTATAATTAGTTTTTATAAATAATTTCAAAACCATGGCAATGTAAAACATTAAAAGATTACTGTTAATTTTTTTTTTTTATCATTATACATCTTTTTTTTTGTCTATTATATAGTTTGTAGGTGTTTTTTTTTTTTTTTCAATTTGCTTCGTATGCTAGTCCTCCACTCAAAAAAAATAAATAAATAAATAAATAAACAAACAAATACTTCATATTTTTTTACTCAAATTTCTCATTAGCTGAAAGTGGGTCTATAAAATGAATGTCTATCGTCCCATTGTCCTAACAGCCGATCACAAAATTAGAACTACGAACAGTTTGATTGTTCTTGGGTAAACAGAATACGTAACACAATCAGGGGTGCTGGGCTTGGCTCAATATCAAGATAGAGGAGGCCTAGGAAACTGGGCTTGGGAGCGTCTCTAAGCTTGAGTTCCTATCTCCTTAGAGAGCACACTGCCACTATTAAAATCTCAATTTAAATTTAAAATTTAAATTTTATTATAGTAAAAAATTTTTAAAAATAGTCACATTTAACTTTTTAATTATAGTAAAAAACTCTTACATAAAGTCACATTTCAACTTAAATTAAAAATTCAAATCAACGAACTAAATGAGCTCATAAGACTCCAGTTTTTTCAAATAATTATAAACTTTATACTTCTAATCATTAACAATATAAATAATAATTTACCATGTCATCTAAATTTAAGAATCCGTCCACATAAATATAAACAAAATATTAAAAACATTTAAAAAATTCACGAGGTATCAAAATTCAATTCGAAGAACAATCATCGAGACAGGAAAATGGAACAACAAATCTTGATTTTATATATCCAATGCCATGTTAAATTAGTGTGACGATACCTAATTCTAACATTTGGGTAAAAACCTTAATCTATACATTCACATTTTCAAATTATTTTAAAACTAAAATTTTCTATTAGTTCACATATCTGGTCCTTGTTTTTTAATTTAAGATGAAAAGTCTTCTATTAAGAGTATTAATGATCGTTCATATGGAATTACTCTCATTTCTCATTTTTTGGAGAAAAGGGTACTAAATTAATTTTCTATAATACGTATTTTGTTTATTTTCTTCTAACGCTGAATTAGCTAAGAGTTTTCTTAAGGTAATAATAAATGAGAAGAAAATTTATATTTTGAAATTATCTAATAAGTTATAAGGGTTTTTTTATTATGAAATTAACATTAAATGTGTAAGATTTAGAATAAAACATAAAAACAAATGAAAGGCAACGTGCCCAAAAGAAATAACAAAAAGAGCAAAAAAAGAAAAAAAAAAAGGGAGACAAATATTTTTTAGAGTGTATGAGTCTGAATACCCCTTATTCTTAGGTCTCGTTCACTTTGCGGATTCGAGTTTTCAATTCGAGTTGAGATGTGATTTTATATGAAAGTTTTTTACTGTAGTAGAAAAAATTAAATGTGAGATTTTATGAAAGTTTTTAACTGTAACAAAATTAGAATTAAAAACTCGAATTGATGAAATAAATTAGGCCTTAATTAATATCATTTTTAATCAATTAATTATATTAATTAAAAAGATATTAATAAAAAATAAAAGATAAAAATTAGACTCAACTACTTTAAAAATAAATTTAAATAATTTTTTCTTTTAGTTGTGGTTTTTGTTGTAATTTACATTAAAGAGAGAGGGCTTTATTATTTTGTTAAAGCAAAAAACTCAAACGTCACATCCTAAGTTACAACAACTGCTCAATTTTGTGCATGTTACATTGAAAGTAGAGGGAAAAAAATTACAAAAATAAGAAACAAAAGAAAAAAGCACGAAAGTAAAAAATCCGTGCACGAAACATTGAAAGTAAAAGAAACCAAAAGCACGAGAATTAAAGTCTCGTACATTTTATCGATTTGAGTTTTTAATTTTAAATTTTTATAATAAAAATTTTTTAGAAAATATCACATCTAATTTTTTCTGTTACAGTGAAAATCTCTCAAAAAATGTCACATCTCAACTCGAATTGAAAACTCAAATTCGCGAAATGAACGAGGCCTAAGAATAAACAGGCAGGTTAACCGCCTCCTCCCTGTTTATTCATCTTTTTTATATATTAAAATTAAGATGAAGATAAGATAAAATTAAGTATTGCAGTGGATGAAATTAAAATAAATTAATTAAAACAAGTTAAAGATTAAGATTAAGATCAAAATAAAATTAAATATGCAATGGATGAAATTAAAATAAGATTAAGATTAAGATTAAAATAGGGTAATCTTGATAAATACCTTTTGAAAGTGTATGTGTCAAAATTTTTACCTTTTATTTTTTATTCATAACTTTTTTTGTTAAATAATTATACTAATAAAAAGATATTTATTAAGAATAATAGATAAAGATTCAAACTCATGCACTCACAAAAGCAATGAATAGCTTGTAGAATAAATTCTAACCATTGTGATTACTATTAACGGCCACGATGTTATTTTTTCTATATATATATAGAAGAATGTAGTAAATAATAGATTTATAAAACTAAATGAAATGAACAGCATATTGTAAATTTATTGGAAATAAACTAATAATTATATATATATATATTGTAAAACCCTGATAAATTTATAGTGATAATATGACAATAACACTTTTACATGGACGAGAATGCCATAAAATTTATTTACTTTTTTTTTTGAAGTTGAAGGTGGATCTAATTGCGATAAAATAATATTTATTGTCAGTTCCGATTTAGGTCAATTGGCTAGATTAATAAATTCGATAAATTTATAAGATAATATGACAATAACACTTTTACATGGACGAGAATGCCATAAAATTTATTTACTTTTTTTTTTGAAGTTGAAGATCTTACTTATCTTTGATTAACTAAGAAAATTAGAAAAATAAGAGATATTTTGATAAATTAGTAAACTATTTATTAATAATATTATTTGATAAAGTAAAATATTACTAATACTTCACTTAATCAATAGATTACTATTTACCTAAATGTGAGGGTCACCTTATCAAAGAATTTTGCGCAAATTTCAAGTTTTGTTATCGTTTTGTGTTGCAGTTGATCTCGGCTGCAACATTCCAAAAAAAGTCGTCGTTTGGAGACTTCTTTTTTTTTTTTTTGGGGGCGTTTGGGCCGGTTTTACCGACTGGGGAGGGTGTGTGACTAGAGGAGCTTTTTTTATTGTTTATTGTTTTTTTAATGAAAAAAAAAAAAAACCCCCCACACGAAAAAGTACCCGTTCTAATCTCAAAAAAAAAAAAAAAAAAAAAAAAAAAGCTACCCGTTTTATGTAGTAAAATGAAAGATATCATCATTTTCTTTGAAGCTACCCGTTTTATATAGTATAAATGAAAGATATCATCATTTCTTTGAATTAAAGTAACAGAGGATTGATAGTCATTTCAACATAATTGAAAAAGTCACAAGACAATTTGCTAGAGGAGCAAATTGATAGTCAACATCCCAAACAATAAACAAATTAAGTTCCATCATCATTAGCACAACTCTTCTCCCATATTTTCACCCAAAAAATAGTTAAAAAAAAAATGACATTCTTTCTTCTCTCTCTCATATGGATCCAGCACCAGCAGCAGGCAAGAGAGCTTTGGCCACTGGAAGCATAGCCACACACCCCCTCTCTGAACTTGAATACTTCCTGTACACCGCCCGAAGCTTACTCTTCAAAACCGTTGAATGCAAAATCGCCAGAAGCTTTGCACAATCACTGTTTTAACACATAACAAAAACAGAAAATAAGATCAATAAAACTGTATTATATAATCAATTGGACAGACCCCATTTGACCAAATAATGTACTCTATCTTACATGACTTGTGCCTCCGAATAACCAGTGTGAAGCTTGAGAGTGTCGTTCCAAACGGGGCTCTTGTTGAGAGTGGACCGAGCGGCGTAGACTGCCGAGGCGGCAATCATAGAAGGGCAATACATTATGGTCGCATAGTGCATTATTCCCAACTCAGCAAGAAAGTATACCAAATTTTCCACCTGTGTCAAAATTCGTGTTAAAAAAAAAAAATGTCGTTCTTACAAAAGAAACAATTGGTGTGCGTTTAAAGAAGAGTTTAGTACTTCTCTGTCATTTGGAACAGAAGCCTTTATGAAACGAACAAGGAACACGTAAGCTGTGGGAACTGTCAATGTCCATTCCAACTTGCCCAATATGATCTTCTCCATCTTTAGAATCTGTTCGTGTGTGTAAGCTCTGTCTGCGAGGCATACAAAATCATTGACCTGTATTATAGAAACACAAGTTTTCAGAATTTTAAGCCATGTATAAAATATTATTGATTACAGTGTATAATATTTAAGGCATGTCTGTGTACCTCAGGAGCCCAGATTTCTTCATATTTTGAGGCCATAAGCATAGCGCTAATGCCCACCAACTGCAGTTCCTTCCTCGGAACGGTCTTCACAGCGAGAAACCTATCGACTATGTTGATCGTCAGGTAAAAGGTTTCGGGGGAGAGTTCAAATTTGATGTGAACTTCTACAAGCCAATCCACCAGTATGGCTCTCATCTGCTCATTCAGCTCAGGCTGTGAATCAATGTAGTCATGAGGCCTGCTCGCGTTCTGCGTAATGAAGGGAAAACAACAGATAATTAGAGAATATTTTATGAAAATATAACAAGAAAATATGAAGAAAGTAAACAATGACATTACCTCAGCCAGCTTATAGAATTTGTACATGTCCTCAACGTACTCAACTGCAGCCAATTCATTGTTAATGTCTGCTGCGTCAATGTCGACAATATTCTCCTTCGGTTTATTAGTTATACCGCAGGCCATCTGAACAAATTCGAGAATAAAGCAAATCAGAAAAATAAGGGGGACACAAATGGATTCGACAAGAAATTGCAAGAAGAACAAAGATTTTTACCTTGCTTCTGGCAGTAAGGACAGAAGAAAGAGTTGGGGCTTTCTTCCTTGACGCTCCTTCTCCATCTTTTTTCTTGACTCTGATCTCGTTCTTCTTCTTGGCATCATCATCTGAATCCGAGCTTACCTCAATCAGCTCTTGTTGGGGCTTTGGCTTAACAAGATTAGCCCTTTTGTGGACGGGTTTAGGCACTGCCTCATCTCGTTTTTGTCCCGCTGGGACTGCCTCAGGAACGGCAAGCGATCCGTTTACATTGACACAAGCTTGTTTCTGAACAAATTTGTGAAAGACGTAATAACTTTATTATTTCGAAGGAAGATCGAAAATCAAGAAAAAATTGAGAGATTAATAAAATCTACAAGGTACGTATATTTAACTTTTCTGATCAGCAAAAATTTAAACCCACAAACCTTGTTGTTCGCAACGGCTTTCGCGGCTTCTGCGTTGGCAATTAGTTGTGCGCGGAAACTCCTGAAGAAAGAAAAAAGAAAGTTAGCAAGAATGAACCAAAAAGAAACAAACAAAAACCAAACTTAAAAAAAAAAAAACAAAAAAACAAAAAACAAAAGATTAAAAGTTACCTTGTGATGGGGCGATGAGGCTTGGCGTCATTAGGTCGAACAGTTACCATATTGCCAATATCACCAAGTGCTCTTCTGTTTCTCCCATCGGCTGCAACGTTTTTCTTTTGCACCTTATTTTCTCCACCAACGACTGCCTCACCTATTGAACAAAAACCCATTAATTAAAATAATTCGAACAACAAAACATTTTTTCACGAGTTTTTCCCCAATTTTATTTATGCAAAGAATAAAAATAAAACGACTTTACAAGATTTGGGCCGTTTGGGACATAAACAAGATGAACAACAAAGAAAGAAGAAAGAAAAGACTCTTCCCTTAACATAGATCAATAAATTATTAGTTACATACCCATTAAAATCTCTATAGCTTTGCTAAATGGGGTTCGATCAATTCGGAAAATAAGAATTTAGGCATTCATCAGAAAACCCAAAAGGAAAGAGATAATAATAAGAATATGAATAATACTTCTTGCTTGCTGTGGAACAACTACTCTTGAAGCCATTTCTTCTGAAAACCCAGAATCGATCTCTGAACAAGAACACTGCCGGCAACCCAATTGGCGACTCAAAAATCTCCTTTCGCTCTCTCTCTCTCTCTCTCTCTCTCTAAGTCGCCTCCACCACTTCAAATCGCTCTCTTTCTCTCTCTACCCTCTCTCTCTCTCACTGAGATTTGTGATCTGAAGAGAATATGAAATTGGGGTTTAAAGAGTCCGTTTTCCCTTTTGAAGCTGGGGCAAGAGGCGACGCTTCACTTACAACGGTCGAATTTATTTGAATTCTTGACCGTTGGATCTGGGGCTGACGATCAGACGGCGTGGGATCGTCGTGGAGAATTTTATAGCCGTTGGAGGGTTCAAAAGTTACTGTTGTGTTAAAATAAGGAAATAACAGGGTGTCTAGATATTGTGACATGGAGTTTACGGAATTTCCTGTGCTTCCTGATTGTTTTAAGAACACGTGGATAAGTGTGCTCTGTACTAAAGCTTTTGTGACGGGTGGCGAGCCCTGTATTAGGAAGTTGAGAAAGTCAGTGCAACGGGAAACCCTTAGTGGGGTTTTGCCTGCGTTCATACGACAGCATTTTGCGGAAGCAAATGAGGGGGTTTGTAAAAGAACACGCTTTTTTGTCTCGCCTAGGCTTGTCGACTAATGGTGAAGAAATACCAGCTTTGCGTGTGCAAAATTGAAACTTTTTTCTTTTTTCTTTTTTCTTTTTCTTTTTTTTTTTTTCCTTTTAAGAGTCAAATAGGAAAAATAATTGGAGGCGAAAGAGTGCTACGGACAATGTAGATATAATAAACCTATTTTTTCGAAGTAGATGTAAAGATTAAATATATTTTAAAAGTGTATAAGTTATTATTTTTACTTTTTATTTTTAATTTATAATTTTTAATTAAATAATTATATTAATAAAAGAATATTTATTAAAAGTAAGTAGTAAAGATTCAGACTCATATATTCTTAAGAGTAAATTCTATATTTTTTTAATAAAAAAACATTAGTACTTATTATAACGGCCAGTTTTTTTTTTTTTTTTTTTAAATAATGAAATTAGTGTAACGGCCTAATTCTTTTTTATTGCTTTCTTTTTTCTCGCTCAACAAAAGAAACGAGAGAGCAATTGGTATGGGTAAATTTTAATATATTTCGACAATCCTTTTTTTTTTTTTTAAATATTTCAACAAAATTTGTACCTTCTAATAAAAATCTCATTTTATACCAAATTCCAACTCAATGTATTAAAATAAAAAATACATGTATAAAAATTAAATAAAAAAATATTTCGAAAGGCAATCCAAAATAAATAGATTAAAACAATTAACAAAATCAACCTAAAACTAGAAGAATAACATAAACCACTTGAAGCCTATGAGTTAGAACTTTTTTTCCACTAAAAAGTGCCAATTGAAGCTTCCAAATTCAGTCACTCTTATATTTAGCTAAAAAAAAAAAAAAAAAAAAAGATGAGGCTTCACAATTGTTGTTCCATCCAAATTTCTATAGTGGTCTAGTAGCATAATCGTCCCATTCCAATAATAATAATATTATTCCTTCCCAGACTATCACTCTTAATGTTTTATTATTTATTTTAAATATCCCTTTCACTATCCTTTTATAAACATATTTAAGTATATTGATCATTTTCTTTCATGGTAGGATGATTTTAATACTTAAATATTTTTCTATATAGCTTACTTTATTTTTTATATATAAATTACGTTCATCTTTGTTATTATGGGTATAGTACAAAATTAATCGTTTGAGTATTACTCATAGATCAAATAAAATAATCACTTTAAAACATCCGAGAAAAAAAAAACACTCTAGAACATATTGTAATTTAGTTTTAAAATAGTATTAAATATTAAACAAAGGATTATTTTTATTAAAAAGTAATTTTTGTTCTATTATAATTATTAACTAAACATAATAACCGTTATTTCAGCACTAATTCTAAGGGAATAATATTAGTTTTTAAATTGAAGGTACAATTTCATTCAACTAAAAACCCTGAAAGAGTACAATCACCAGACGAGAAAAGTGTCGAAAAACGTTTCTAAGCAGTCTAGATTTCATCTTCTAAACGAAATTAGATCTGTCAAAACAAAATCATCTTGCCAAATTCAGCCACCGCTATTTTAAAACCCACAATGATATGAGTTCCGTAACCAATTTTTAAGGCCGGAGCTCCACTGACGCGTCTAGAGACGGTCTCAAAATTCTAATTGTCTCACTCTCTTCTTTTCTCTTTTTCTCGTTTCTCTTAGGGCCGAGTGCCCCCTCTAGTTATTGTTATTTCTCCAATACTTTATTAGTTAATGAATAACATTAGAATTATAATGAAATAATTCAATTAATTTTTATTTCATTATAATTCAATTAATTCTTATTCTCAATATTTCTATTTTTATTATTTTTTTTATATTCTATTCTATGAAACCAAAAAACCTAATTTCTAGCGGAGACTCCTAAGAGCAGGTCTAGAAGTTTTCAAGTGCAAACACACATTTATATGTGCACTTATGTGTGATGCATAATTTTTTTAATACAATTTACACTAATTTTCTTGTGTTTTACCAAAACAACAATAACACTCCTTTAACTAAAACTAGAGTACAATTGTGGAAGATTAATTCCGATTTCTAACTCGCTTTCTGATTGCAATTTTTCTTGGGTTCCGCGAGAATTAAATGTTTTAACTCACAACATTACGAAATGGGCTTCGGCAAATCTGTTATGTTAGCTAAATGAGTAGGTTGAAGTTCTACAAATGTATTCCTTATCTTTGCCTCTTTATAGGATTTTCTTCTAATTATACTCTTGCTTATTAAAATAATAATAATAATAATCACGTCAATACATCCTAATTTTTCAAAAAATTACACACCCTTTTCGTCAGTGGACCGTTAGTTAACCTTGACTGTGAGCTTTAAATTTTTTTAAAATACCAAAAATGCCTCCCCAGGTATAAAAAGTTATATATAATGTTTGAAATGACGTTTTACTCCTATTTAACACCAAAACATGAGTTTAATTATTTTTTTAAGAACATGAGTTTAGTTTTTTTTTTTTTTTTTTTTTTTAAGCGAGTTTAGTTATTTCTTGCATACATTTAAGTTGTAACCATAATTTTCATTCTAATGGAAAGAAAAAAAGATCCATAATCTCTTCTCAAAAATTGCAGAATTTACTTTTAAAAGTGTACGGGTCTAAATTTTTACTCTTCATTCTTGATTAATATCCTTTTACTAGTGAAGTATAGAAATTCCGATCCATACACTTTTAAGGGATATATATGTATATCCTTTCCCCTAATCTTTTTTCTTCAATTTAAGAGAGTTTCTCCAATAGTCTACCCTACAAGTAGTCCTAATTTTTTACCGTTAGATCTAATCAAAATCAAATCAGATTGAAAAAATATGTAAAATAGACAAATTTTAATACAAATCTGATGACTAAAAAGTAATAAACTACTAATAATCTATTTTGACAGAGACTACCAGAGAAAGTCTCTTCTTTTAATAACATGCTCCATCCATCCATCTGAAGTAGCATAATCTTCTTTGGTGTTAATTACATAGAAATATATCTAACCTAAGTATATCTAAAGGCGTTACATACATAATGCAAGTTTAAGTCACAAACATAAAGATTAACAATTATATAATCTAAAATAAATCAAAATATAGAGATACAAATTAATACAATAAATATTGAATTAATCACAACAATATTAAGAAAAATTTCACCAACATCAATCAAACAAATTCAAAAAATTATTTTTATCTCATAAATTAAACTAAAAACAAATTCCACAATCGAACAAACGAAACTTTAAAATTCATTGAGCCCTAATTTCTAACTCAGGCTCCTAAGAGTGGGTCTAGAAGTTCTCAGGGCGCAAATACACACATTTATGTCTGATGTGTGTGTACATATATATATATATATATATATTATGTGATAAGCATCATTGGTAATTTTTTATAGGTTTACCTAACACATTTAGTTAATTAATCGATTTAGGTTGATTGTATTATGGTGTCAACAAAATTGGTTGATTTGATTTATAAATTATATTGTGAACTATATTTCCACCTTCATGATTAAGCTAATTCCATACTCAACAACAAATTATTTTTGTTAACACGTTTAGAGGAAGAAAATATATGTTAACTTGTTAACTTACATAATCATTTGTTAATTTATTTAATACGTTTAGAGGAAGAAAATATATGTTGCTCGCTTAACTATACCAGTATATCGCTATCTCTAGAATAGATTATGTGGGACTATAGATTACAAATCTGAATTATAATGTATCTGAATTATAATGTAAGTGATTATTTTATTGATAAATGTGTAAGAGAATATATATGACTTTTGAGACGGAAAATGGAAGTGCTACAAAACAACTAGGCGTTAGACATTGAGATTGATGACTGACCAATTCTAGCTCAAGCACTTTAATTGATCTTGGACTCTTTAAATAATTGACGTCATTTGTTTCGTTTTCATATTTATTTTTTCTAAGGACATTTTACACACTTACCTCTTGAATTTGTATGATTTTAATAATTTGTTGTCTGAACTTTTAATTTTGACAAGTTATCTCTTTAATTTGTAAAATGATCAATATGTTTCATCTTGACGATGATTGTGTTAAATTAGTGCCAAAAAAACGCGTTCGACAAAAAAATTCCTACATCCTAATTTAAATGAAACACAAATATTTCCATTTCTCAACCTTTAATCATTTAAAACTAAAAAAAAAATATAAGCAAATTTAGTAAAATAGAGCACATTACAATAATTTTATAAGTTCAAAGAGTTGATTGTCAAAATTAAAAATTTGGGAGACAATTTGTTAAACCACGATAAATTTTGAGGATAATTGGGCTAAAAACATTTTAAGATAATGTTTTTTTTCCCTCTCTCGGTATAGAGCCGACAATATATAATTTGATACTAGAAAACTTATTTTATTATTTGTCTGAAAAAATGTAAAAAATATTTAAGATAGTTTCTTAGAAAGACTAGTGCCCTAGTCCATACCTAACTGCTTAAATAGAATTAAAGTAATTCACAGTTAAAAAGAGGTATCGCAAAATAAAAAAGAAAATCCAAATTTGTTACGCAATACATTTAATTTGTTTCTTTAAATTATATAATATTATCTTATTTGATAAAATTAATATTATAGGTTTTTTTTTAATTATTTATTTAGGAGTAGAGAATTCAAACTCTTCACCTTAAAATATAGTTTCACGTATAACACCACTATCGAACCGATTATGTCGGTTTTCTGAAACGGTGCGCTGAAACCGAACCGCACAATGGAGTAATCAGTTCAGTTAATTGAACTTTAGTTTTTGGTCGGTTTTCAATTTTTGTAATCAAGAAGGTAGCCATCAGTAAACTATCAAGTTACCAACATCTTTAGTTGCATTTTTTTATTAGAAAATCCGAAAAAATGTAAAACTTTTCCCAAATGTGAATCATCAGGTTACCAACATTTATATTGTGCAATCTTTTGTTCAAGCTCATAATCATATTGTTATTTAGAAATTAGAGCACCTCAAACTAAGCAACCGATATCAATAAATATACATATATATTATATACAATTATTGTATATAATATACTATAATATGCATCCAGAAGTGTAATTGTTCATTCAAAAATTGGAACCTTCTTCAATCTTTTACTATATGAACGATTAGAACAAAAAGTAAAGTAAACAAAACTGAGTTCAGTATAAATGGCCAAATTTGTTGAGAGACGGAACAACGAAGTTCTTAACTTAATCAATAATGTACGCTGTATTACATGCAAAAGCTTCAGGAATAAAATGGCACAAACAATTGCTGTGAAAGGAAGAAAGAAGAAATAGAAGAATCTATAAAATTAACCTGAAACTTGAAATTGAGCTTCAGGTGGGAGATGGCAGGAGATGGCGGACGGCGGACGTGTGAGGACGGAGGCGGCGGTCCGACAAAGGTTTACTCGGAGGGAGATGGCGGAGGGCGGACTTGTGAGGACAGAACAAGGAGTGAGGCGGAGGGCGACGGCTAGAGTTATTTTCCCCAAATGTGAGAGAGAATCAGAGAGATGTGAGTGGGAGTCTGTGAGTGTGAGTGTGAGAGTGAGAGTCTGAGAATGAAAGCATGGAAAAAGAGTGAGAGTGAGATACGACAATAGCATGGAAAAACAGTAGGAGAATATCTTGGGCTGGGCCTTTAAAAAAGGACTTAGAAGAGTAAAAATTCGGTCGGTTCGGTTTTAAACCGAACCTCACTAGCATAAACTGAATCCGAACCGCGGTGGAGCCAGTTTGGTCGGTTAACCGAACTGACTGTCTTCGGTTCCATGTGACACCACTTTTTTTGGTATTTAAACGGTCAGTTCTTCGGTCGGTGGCAGCTGGTTTTGGTTTCACGGTTGTTTTGTAAAGCCTTAATTCTAGCCCAAGTCTTTTTTTTTCTTTTTCTTTTTCTTTTTTAGTGTTTAACAGATTACACCTTGTCGACTAACATAGTATCATTTTGGACAAAGGAGACAACAAAATATTGTTGAAAATGAAATCTATAATGAATTGAAGACCAAGAGGCCTTTAATTAGGTCATGTCACATGTGGTGTAGTGTCTTTTAATAAGCGTTTGATATTTAGATAGCTAGATGCATTTACATTTCTTAAAGAGATACTTGTTAAACGCTTCACCTTATGTCAGAAGGAGCCATTTTGTAAAAATTTCTTTCTTTAGGGGAAACGGTTGTTACATTTTAGAAAAGAGAGACAAGATTTAGGAGAATTTTTATAATTAATCCCAAAAAAAAAAAAAAAAACTTTCCCACCGTAGGGTAATTTTACAAGTACATTCCATGTAATTTCTTTCTGGCTTTTTTTTTTCTTGCCCCTTCATACATGCAGCCATACGGTCCATAACATACATTGGTGTTATATTAATTCTATTCAAATCAGGATTATTTTCAGAGTTGAAAAGTAAATTATATAAAGAAAACCAAAATACGGCTAAAAGTTTGCATTAAAGCAATGTTTTTCACAAACAATATTAGTATCTCATTTGTGTATTTTTCTATATGACAAACTTTGATCATAAATGATGCTTACCATCACATACCAAAGATGTTGCACCATTAGATATATGCAAATCAGCCACAAAGAACAAATTAATTATAAATCGGCAATTCGTTACAACGGATGATTAGGCAAACGAAAAAAACAATGCCTAAAACACAACCAAAAGATTAGTGGAAAACCCAAATCACTATAGCATACACCTTTTTTTTTCTTTGTTTAATTTTCTTTTTTAAATCATGACAGACACACATGCATACATATTACTCACACTGTAAAAAAAAAAACCTGATTGTACACTCACATTTCGTGAAAACTTTGTCAGTTAAGTTTACTTTCTATACTTGATCATCCGGTCCAGCAAGCGTGACCTGTTGCCGAAAATATGCCCATCTTAAAACCTCATATTTTGAGGAAAGTCAAGAAAACTTGTGAAAAAACACGTCGAAGATGTAACTACTTACGTTGCAATCGTGGGCGTATTTCCGGGCAAGCGTAATTGCCGCATTCCTATCTCGCTCCGACTCAAATGTTAAGACAAACGAGAGGCCCTTCCTGGCTTGCCAAAACAACGCCTTCGCTGCAGTATTGCTCTCACCTCTATAGCCACATAGCTATACATCAAGAGAGAGATAATGTGTGATTTTAACTGGCTATGAAAACTACTTCCTACACTTAATCCAGGTCAAGAGACATAATTTCATCTTTAGTTGATCGGATATTAGCATAATTAGTCCCTAAGCATTGAACATTGTCTTACTTTGGTCCCATTACTTTTTTTCTCGGCCGATTACTCCTTGAATTTTGACTGTTTGCTAGTTTTAGTCCCTGACACTATTTGTTTCACAGTTTTACAGAAATCTTTACATTCACGCAAAATTTTACAGGTTTTAAGGAATTTTTAACAACAGTGAAGAGAATAGTCTCAAATCGAGTACAATTACTATCTTCAGAGAATATTGCTTCACTACCCTGGTAAGAAAATATTTCACCTTCATTTACTTTCTCTTTTTACTTCAAACTTGAACCACACCAGGAAAAAGAACGAACAATTTTCCTTGCATATGGGCTCAAAAATTTCCTTTGTTGAATATATGGATTAAAAACTCTTCAGTCATGTTAAGCTGTTATACGCGGCATCATAACGCAGAATTTAATCTCCTCCATCGAACCTTGTGGAACAATTTATGATGACCAAAAAAGCCATATGTAACCACAAAATGTACCTGCATTGATGAGGAATAAATTTCTCTAGCCTTTGTGATCCATCCTCGACAAAGCTTCATTCTCATCTTTCCCACATGAAATGCATGAACGGAATGTGATGAATAGTCCTGTCCATTCATTTTTGAGATAACTACCTACAAAACAACAAACATCGATATTAGACAAGAACAAAATATGCAGACGAACATCCAGCCCCATTTTTCTTCTCTTCTTAGTTTGGCAATGATTGCCTGGAATTTGTAAAAAATTTTGTATGGTTCCCAAAAAAAAAAAAAAAAAAAAAAAAAAAACCACAAAGTAAAAGTGGAGAGGCCAATACCCATAAGTTGTGTGATATTGTTGCTTAGGGCGAAATTTGATACACGTATGGATGGTTCAAGATAGTATATTTACCATCTTAGATAGATGGACAGTGGATGGAAGAGAGAAGAAAGAAGGAGATCTTACATTAAATTCGCTGTTAGATTTTCTCATCAGTGTCTCTACATGACTTCCAAGTCCTGCAGCTGTTAGAAAACTAATATAATTAGCCTTTCTATCCGCTTCTCTAAAGCAGAATTGTGGACATTCCTAAATCCAGGAATCTGAACAAGATGACATGAAATGAAAAAAACAAAAACAAAAACAAAAACCAAAGAAAATAACAACAACAAAAAAAGAAAACAAAAATTTAAGAGAACTGACCAGGATCAATGGGGCCAGGAGTCATTACTGAGGCTTTCTGGCCATTAAAGCAAATGTCTGCTTGTAAGATTCGTCCTACGTCCAATGGTTCGGGCGCATAAACTGGTTTGTTGGCACCTAAAACAAAATTGAGCCGCGGCACTTGAAAAGATACCTCAAATATAACAACAAAGGTGCAATATCATATTATAGTTATGTTACAATTGAAGGAGTGCATTGCATACCTGAAATCACTTCGTCTCTGTTGCATTCAAGTGACACGCGATACCACTGAATTGAACATTTTGAAAGCTGTGGAGCCTCATCAGAGGACACCTGGATTCGAAGATATGAACCTAGCATTGCCGAACCATCTAACATATATAAACGAGATTTGTTCTCTTCAGCTCTCTTGCTTATTGCCAGCTGGTAAGGACAAGAGACTATCAAAAACAAATTTCCGGCAATTCCAAACACCATATAGGGATTGAGTAGTTTAAAAGAAGTATTTCCAAGTCAATTATCCAGTCATTAGAGACGCATTAAAACGCATATAGTAAGAAAACAAAAATGAGAATTCCAGATATTCAAAACCAGAAACTGTATTTATATTATCATTCATGGTCCAACAAGATGTCAGATGTTAGACACAATGTCGAAAATGTCAGCTGTGTTTGCGTGGTCAAATGAATAGTCATGGGAATCAAATACGTTTTCACGTCTCTTGCACAAAAACTGCAAGGAAAAGTTAATAATGAACATCGTATCATTTTTCTGGTCGTTTCATATGGTTAGTGCTTGTCTGATATTTTCCTACTGCTGTTTGTGCAAAACTATCTTGAATTTTTGTTTAAGTCCGAATTTCCACAGTAGCATGCATTATCATATAGGGATGAATTTGGAAACAAACAGTAAACAAATTTGTTGACAAAAAGCAACATACCCTTCCATCTGAACAACAGTAAACACACGCGCACACACAAACATGGATACACACACACACATAATTTCCTCATTTTAGGCATAAATGAGGAAAATATATATATATGCAAATAAGCTACACAGACCTCTTTCTGTAGCTTGACTGAAAACATAAATTTCTCTCTAATTTGAGTTCGTAGTGCGCGAAGTTCATGTTCCATCTCCATCATCTGCAGGTATTAAAACTTTCCTCATGATCAAAAAGGTCAAACATCAATTTTCATGATTATTATTATATGCCAAAAGTCCTACTCTCCGCACGCAGGCACAAATACATATACAATGATATTTAAAATATTGATATATAACTGTACATGAGAAAAACAGTCGGTCAAGAGAAATCAGGAGCAGTTTAAACCAGTTGACTAGCAGTTAATTGTTTATGAAAGAAATCACATCACATAAACTTGTGGGAAGAAACAAAGTCAAGAACACCAAAGCAAACCTTGCTTGGCTGGTGCAACAATTTAATTCTTCTAGCCTCCTGAACCTCCTCTAGTAGCCCCTCAACATCCTGAAGATACAGAAAAAAAAACAAAAAAACAAAACAAAACAAATAAGATACCATATAGAACAAATAGATAAACCATTCATCTTTGATGCACTTATCCATATTTCAAGCAAAAATCTGTATTAATTAGATGAACTACAAGGCAGACCCCAGTGCCAAAGAGGCACCCGTACTATGACAATCTCAGGGAAAAGCTCAATCTCATATGTACGCGGCCTTACCCCCCGAAGGAGAGGCCGTTTCCGGGATTCGAACCTTGGACCCCGGGTGCAAACGCAAGCGCTCCCACCACGGTGCCAAGGCCCGCCTTCGGCATGTTCAATGGAAGGAATATTATTCTGAACCTTAACATAGAGTGGGTTTGACATCTATCAATCAAAAATACTCCATCTCACAACCAGATCAAGTAAGACCAGCCAAGAGAACAGGGGAGTTATGACATCACTTTGTACAAAAGGTTCCACCATTTTTACTTCTTAGGCCACACATATAGAATTACGTGAACATTGATAACTTTAAACAGGATTGCCTACACCTTTCACGTGCGCAAGTAAATTCAAAGTTCAGAAGAATTCAAAAACCGTCTTCAGGATATGTTGGAAATTGTCTCTATTTGGAACATGGAAAGTAATAAATTGAGATTAAAATAGGAAAGAGAGAGCGAAATGATAGGTAGGGTATCAGCTTAAAACTACTAAAACAAAAGCTTGTGGTTCCGAAAAAAGAAGCAAAAACATATACAAATACACAAACACACACACACACACACACACACACACACACACACACACGTACATGAACAATGTTATACAAAAGCACATGTACATTCTGATATACACACACCCAAGTAAATGTAATAACATAAATCTTAATTTGCAACGTTTGATGGAAAAGAAAAAGGAGCTTACAGGAGATTGCTCTTTAGAAGCTTGTGAAATTCTATCTTGCTCGTCAAGTGCTTCTCCAATTCTCTGGACTACAGCTCTTGCACTCTCAATTTCAGCACAAGCAAAAGATTTCTCTTGGTTAACCAACTTTTTAGCATCTTCAGAAGCCTGTGGACGAATGCGGGCAATTAAAAAAAAATGATACCGAACATCAAAATGCCTAGTTGGATACTTCGATGCACACAAAAACTCCAAAGTCACTATGGCTTTCCATCTATTTGGATTCACCCTACAACCATCACTGCAATATTAGATTTATATAATAATTTAAGAGGCAATGAATAACCTGTTTAAGAAAGTTTGCTAGCTTTTTTACTTCAAACTTCTCCTGAATCAATTCTCCCTCATTTTGAGTCAACTTAACAGCTAAAGCTTCAACCTGTATAAAGATTACAGTTAAATACAATCATAAGGGGAGTATAAAGGGGGAAAATAAATGCCTACTTAACAAAGACTAACCATAGAGATAGCTTTCTCCACATCCTCTTTATTACGCCCTGCCATACGGCCTCTTAGATGTTCCAGTGCATCTCTAAGCTTCTTCAAAAGAACATGTCCCTCCAATGAGGCCACTTCCCTAAGCTTTGCCTAAGAATACAAGTAAGAAGCACAACTAATTGAATAAAAAAACTAACTTAATATCAACGATCCAAGATAGTTTGTACAATATTGATGTCAAAATTAGCACTAGTCATGCCATTAATAAATTCTCGCATTCATAGACAAATAATTGGAGACCTCTTCAGACAACTTAGCAGCAGCAGTCAAGTTCTTGTCAAATTTGCAGGCAAGGTCGCGAACCGATAGACGCTTGTGTTGCTCCGACAGCTGGGTCGTTTCCTGTTCAACAACCTCCTTCAAAGATGGACCATTGTTGTCCTCCTTTGGCTCTTCTAGAATCTGATTATCGGCTCCCAGTTTGTACTTTGGAAAGTGATTGGATTTGAAGCTCACATCAGCAGATACTGGCAGAACTGCATCCATATCCATCGCGTCAACTTCGGGACTTACCTTCGTCATTGTGTTGGGATTATGTTACTCTGTATATCAGAAGTCGAAACAAATGTTAATCATCCCAACCTTCAGTTCATGATATACAAAGCATGTGACTTGAGTAGCACTTTGATATAATCTTTTCATTTTCATTCTCTTTTTCTTTTTCTTCTTTTCCAGAAACAATCATCAGAACCAGAAACCACAATCAATGTTGATTATACATTTTTTTTTCTCTAGATGTGTCAAAAAAAATTTATCATAGAAAATCAGAAGCACATTTTGTGATAATGTGAATGAGATAATAGGTATGTAAGCAAGCGAAGAGTATTAAAACGGACCAAAACAAAACAAAAAAAAAAAAAAAAAAAAAAAACAGGAACTTTTATGCGTAGACCCATTACGTAGGAAGGCACAGAATTCCGAGATGTATTAAGAACCCCATAAATAGTAAATGTGAGATTAATTACGGACTAAATAATGAAGTTTACAACAAAATATATTCCTAGGGAATAGATTTTCATTTCTTTACCAGAAATTTCAGCAAAGCGAAACATGTACAGATCAGAATCCACTCTGTATATTGCGAAAATGAAAAAAGCAAGGAACGTTTCAACATGACCAAAAAAAAAAAAAAAAACACCATAAAAAGCATTAACTAGTAACTTCTGAACTACATTTCAAAGAATACCTACCCACATGAAGACATTTCTCTTACAAACAAGATTCTTTACCAATCAACAGAAAATATCTCTGAAGAATATAGAACCCAGAGACACTATGCTATTTCCGAAGAACACGCATTAAAGGACAGAAAGAATACGTACAAAAACAAGAAGAACCCAGCAAGCCAAATTGCAGAAAGAACCAAAAACAGTCAAGTAAAATACTTCTAACCACATTTGTCGTATAGCTTAAGGGGAAAAAAAATCCACTTGGAAACTCCTCAGCTTCAAACTTTGATGCGTGAGGCAAATGCCAAAAACCCATTTGAACAAAACAGAAAAATAAATAGGATAAAGAAACTTACAGATGATAAAACAATGTCTGACCAGGAAAAAAAAAAATACAGAAGTCTGCTAATGCTGGTCCATGCCAAAGCCCCAAGAGATTCTTCCTCTAACACAGCCTGCTAATATTAATCTAGAGAGAGAGAGAGAGAGAGAGAGAGAGAGAGAGAATAAAAGCATAAACTTGTGAGAAAGAAGAAGAAGAAGAAGAAGAAGAAGAATCTAAAGGATGATAGTTTTGGTTACTTTGGTTTGCTTTTCCAAAAGGAAAAACAAAAGAAAAGGCCTGTGGCCTTGTGTTTGTGTCACTGACCTCTTTGTCTCCCTTCCCAACAAGTGAATTTCCCCTCTTCTCATTTTTCATTTTATTTTTATTTTTATTTTTTATTTTTTATTTTTTCTTTACCCTTCCTCTCATGTCATGATTCTGTCCTAAGCTGTTGTAAGCTCTTATTCCCCATCCAGGGATGGAAATTAAATAATAAATAATAAATAATAAATAAATAATCACTGCCAAAAATATGAAAAGTGAAAGCCTGCCATGATGCCCACGCGCTGACCCCACACTCACCACCACCCCTCCTTACTTGAGGTCCCACCTAATGGTTGGCACCATGACTATATACTCTACCGAGCCCTCCTTGAATGGCGCGTGTGGGATGTGACGGTGGGGCTTGTTTTCTTTCTTTCTTTCTTTCTCTTTTTTATTTTTCATTTTATTTTTTTTTTCTGTTTCTCCGCATGGAAAAAAGGTTTGGTCGAATGGGTGCTTTCGTAGAGATGTGTTTGGGGATCTTAAAGAAATTTCGTAATGTGTTGTATATGCATGCAAGTCTTTTTCTACTCATGTACTATTATACTCTGTCGGGTGACTTGGGTCCAATTGCCACTAATTATATGTGACAGGGCAAATTTTACGTAATATATATCAGATATTATTATTATTTAAAACAAATAATTGAATATAATGGTTGAAAATACACGGTAACACCAATGGTAAAGCATTTTATTGTTATATTAACGCCCATTAATTTCACTGATTCAAATTTATTACAGTAAAAAAATTTTAAAAGTACTCACTTTTAATTTTTTTGTTGCAATAAAAAATTTTCACATAAAATTACATCTCAACTCAAATTAAAAACTCGAATCAGTAAATTAAATTGACATTTATTATCCCTTCTAATGTTTTGAAACCTCTCTCCCTCTCTTCCTTAACAAAGACTTCGTTGGAAAGAAAAACGACCAAAATAAAAACACACCAAAGTCTCTAAATTCTGCAAAGAATACATTAGTAATACATGTGACATGGTAAAACAAGAGTGTCACATTAGTAATATATATATATATATATATATGATCAATTTGGTCTCACAGCATAATTTAGTGTATATATATGGCAACTTTAATTTAGTACTAACACATCTAATAATTGCATCATACTTGATAATAAATAGCGTTTTTTATAAACTGTATTCAAAATGGTTGAATGATCTTTCTTTTGAAATGATAATTCTTTCTTTTTGTTAAATCTAACCAAACATTAGATTTGAATTTCATTACATTTTATTTTTTTTCTTTCCCCCCAACCAAAGCACCTTAATAGAATGACATCAATAACAACTAGACTAAGGGCCTGTTTGGTAGAGTTTTTATTTTTATTTTTAGCCAGCAAAAGAAGATAAGTAAAAATTATGGTTTTTCAATAAGTGTTTAAAACCAAGAACTTAATGAGTCAAAATGATTTTTAAATTTTCTAATAAGCAATAAAAGTAATGAATTAAGTTTATAATGCTTTAATTAAACTCTATACAAGTTTCAAAGTTTATTCATAAATGTTTTATTTAAAAGCTACAATTTTTAACTTTGATTGGAAGCTCTTTTAAAAAGTCAAAACACTTCTGTCAGATCATCTAAACACTTCTATAAATAACTTTTAGACCGAAAAAGCTAAAAGCAGCTTTTAGAAAACTCTTCAAAACAAGTCCTAAAACTAAAGACAATTGTGCACCACTTTGCCACATGATTGGTCTGGTGTTAACCGGATTAATCGCCAATATAATCATTTACAAATCTGATCGCTCTCTCTTATTTGAAATGAAAAAAAAAAAAAAAAAAAAAAGAGATTTATTACATTTTTTAGGGTCTGTTTAGTTTATGAATTCAAATCATAGTTCATGATTTTGACTTTTAAAATTTAAATTTTTTTAAAGGAAAACACTATAACAGAACTAAAAATCATAATTTGAATCATGCAGAACCCTTAAAACAAACGCACCCTAGTGTTAGACAAATTGCATCACAAATTATTCAACTATTTGTTGACTTCCTCTTAAAAAAAAAAGGGGGAGGAGGAGAAGTTGTTACTGCTTATGATTATTAATAACTTTTCTTGTTTATATTCTTTTATTTTCTTTTGGGATTATCCAAGAGTAACGAATTTGTGAAGAAATTGTTGATTATGACCAATAATAACCTTTCTTTTATCTTCCTTTTTTTTTTCCTTCCTTTTGGGATTATTCAAGATTAACGAATTTGCTGACAAATACGCCTTAGCTGTCACTTGCCATATATATATAT